AGACCGATCATCGAACCGGTGAAGCTACTGGTTCAATGGTTCACTGGTCTCGGACCAGTGGTCGAACCGGTCGAACCGATTTAACTAATATATAATTTATTTATTTATTTTATATGTATAATAAATAATTATATATATATTTATCATTAATTTTATAGCATATAATGACATTTTTTTAAATAAGAGTTGATAAATCAATATTTCAAGTATAGTTTACCATAAACAATACTAAATAAAGTTCACTAAAGCAATAGATTAATAATTCAATATCTAAACCACGGCAATCTAAATTACAAATACAAACTATAAAGTCATCAAACATCAAAATATATCGAATCCAACATTACAATTCATCAAACTACAAAATACTATCTCTCTTCTTTTTTTTTTTAATTTTTTTTTATTTCATTAAGATTTTTTTTTTTTAATTTCAGAACCGGTCGAACCGGTACCGGTTCACCTGTTTTGAACCGGTTCGACCGGTTCGATACCGGTTCTTGCTCCCAGCGGCCCAAACATGCAAATCGGACCGGTACTAGGTCCGGTTTCCGGTTCAACCGGTCGAACCGGCCGGTCCGGTTTTGATAACATTGGCAATAACACACCTCAACCCCTTCAAGTCATAATTGTGCTACTCTGCAGCGTATCAAATCCCACAAGTCAACTAGATACTTGGGCATCCCTCTTGGCATTGACAGGTCTAAACTTGAAGCTTTTCAATATGTATTAGATTATGTGAAATAGAAAAATTCAAAACTGGAAAGCCAAACTACTTTTCCCAGCTGACAAAGAAGTTCTCATCAAGGCTGTGCTTCAAGCTCTCGTAGTTTTCTCCATGTCATGCTTTAAACTCGCCTCTACTCTGTGTTTTGAAATCTCAAAACTCTGTTCTCACTTCTGGTGGAGCAAGGGAGAAGACCAAGCTCAAGGGATTCACTGGAAATATTGGAACTCCCACTGATTGCCAAAGGTTGATGGAGGACTTGGATTCCAAGACATCAAAAACTTCAACATAGCCTTTATTTGCAAACAACTGTGGAGAATGACTACGCAACCAAATATGTTGGTGACCAGGATCCTAAAGGACAAATATTTCCCACATTGCTCCATTTTTTAAGCTGAAAAATTCCATAATTGTTCTTAGTTGTGGTCTAATTGGCTCGAGGTACTTCCTTTTTTTGCCAAAAGTTTTGTTGTTGAAATCAGAATGGAGCTTCTACTAGACTGGATGATGTGAACTGGGTTCCAAACTTCCCCAAACCCAAACCTACACTCCTTGAGATTGCTGGAGGACATATTATTTGGGTTAAGGATGTACTTAGTGACTCAGATATCAAGGTTGGAATACATGGCTGGTGTCTCAACTTTTTGATGTTGAAGACAATATGCTATCCTCAATATAAGCACTCTCAAGCCAGGGAAGGAGAAGAGAAAATATTAGACTTTTGATTTAAAAAAAAAATGACAGTTCTCAGTATCCAATACTTATGCTTTTCTGTTCAAACAAAAATTTTTATCCTTAGATCTTCTTTGCTACAACACCTCATCTGACAACTTCAGCTCAGTCTATGACAGGTGTTGGAAGCTAAGAGTTGTTGGTAAGGTTAAACACTTTATTTGGAAGTGTATTTCTGGGACCTTGTATGTGAAAATGAATTTGGGGAAAAAAGGCTTAGATATTGATATCATCTGTCAGAGTTGTGATAATGCTTCGGAGACCATTGAACATGTGCTCTTTTATTGTGATTAGGCTAGCAGGCTGTCGGATATTGCCCCAGTCAAATGAGATAGTTTGCAATCCTCATCGTTCTCTTTCAGGTGCTGGTGGATCCATATATGCTCCTTAGATAAATCAGAAACTGACGAGGCCAGAATCCAATTGACAACATATATGCTCTGGCGGCTTTGAAAGTTAAGAAAACTTTGGATCTTTCAAAACACTCATTTGCCGGCTCACTTGCTAATCAAAGCTGCACATAAAGACTGGATCGACTACTCCCAGCTTATGTGATTTCTTTTATTGTTTTATTTCTTTTGTTCAGTAATTAGAATTTCTTCTTCCTTTTGGCA